CCCCAAAACCCCAAAACCCCAAAACCCCAAAACCCCAAAACCCCTCACCAGTTGTTCCAAGTTGACTGTAATCTTATTCAGATTTCTTCGTATCTTCCTTCTCTTCTTCATGATTTTGGGCATTTTCTGATTGTAGGATCTCCTTGACTGCGACCATGAATCTGTTAACGATTACCTTTTTGTTTAACTTTTCTCCTGAAAAGGGATCGCTCATCTTATTTTTGAATAACTCTTTATACGTTTTTTGGTCGATGGTGTGGCCTGATGGGCAGATTACGGGAGACTGGATTTCATCGAAATAGATAGGGCATTCTAAGTAGGATTTTATCTTGGCGATTTGGGTCTGGAGGGATTGGAGGGAGAGAGATGTGGGCGAGGAAGGAGGGTTGGTGCTGAGCTTTTCGAGAGCGGAGATTTTGAGTTGGAGCTTGGTTATGAGGGATTTGAGGCTGGAGTTTTTAGGGGAATCGTTTTGGTCGAAGAGGGATTTTAGTGCTTGGTTTTCTTCTAAAGCTTTTGATAGGTCTTGACTTAGGTCTAGTATTAAGCCTTGGTTTTGTAGTAGTTCATAGTTTGTAGCGGCTATAACTTGAGCTTCCTTTGCCTTTGATTTTTCAATACTAAGCAATCTTTTAAGTTCTTGGATTTTATTAAAATCATCACGTAAACATGATTTTAACAATTCAATTTTAGAACTTTGTCCCTTTAAATCTATTAAATATTTATCAGCTTTCTCAAGCTTTTTCTTTTCTTGCTCCCTCTCTTTATTTAATAATTTTACTTTCCTCCTTATATGCCGTTATCTTAGAAATCTGCTGAGTCAAAGTGTTGGATTGATTCTATAACCCCAATAAGATTCCCAAACAAGTCTATCCCATAAACTTCTCATCTACATCCCCAAAAGCACCAATCTAGCACCCCCTATCATACCTTAACCTTCTGGTTCAACTCATTAATCGCCTCCTTATGACTATTAACAGTATTCTTGAGATTTTGTATGGTCTTTTGGAAAGTAGCTGTAGAGGTAGCATTAGAGTTGCTCTTCAGCTGATTTATTGTGTTCTTGTATGAAATTATTCTTTGCTTTTCTCTATCGCTTTCTTGCGAAAGAGAGTGAATCTTGATGTATAGGTCTTCCATTTTATCGACGAGAGTCCGATTCTCAATCTTGAGAGAATTTATCTTTTGAGAGAAGGAGGTAGATTCTTCCTGAAAAGCATTAACTTTATTTGTTAAGAGCCTTGTTATTTTGTTTTAGGGAATTATTTTGCTGATTTAAGGAGTTAATTTTCTGCTTCAGTGAGCTTATTTCGCTTATCTCTTTCTTCCCTATTTTCTTCTCTTCATTAAAATATTTCCTCTCTTCTAACCTTTTAATATCTTCTTCTTGAAATTTATTTTTCTTCTTCAATTTCTTAATCTCTTTTTTCATATTCTTATTATTCTTTCTCAAATCCTCTCAAGACTGCTGTAATGCCTTATCTATACCTTATGCATACACCATACCTATCATCATCTGATTCATCACCCTTTCCATCACCACTAAATACCCCATAGCTATCATCATACCCATAATTTGCATCATACTTACTAAAACCATCAAGCCCATATCCACTTTCTCAGCCATATCTCCACTCATGCATCTCAGCATAACCTTCTGAGTCATCAAAGTCCATCCTTGTTTTAAATTTGGTCTAAATTATATTACCCATGTGCTTTCTGTGTGGGGTTTTGGGGTTTTGGGGTTTTGGGGTTTTGGGG